CCAGGACGTCACGTTTGACGAGTCGGTCCCCTACTACCGCCTCTTCCCCTACCGCACTCCGTCCCTCCCCCCGCCGCCGCTCTTCCTTGTACCAGGTCCCCCTCCGGTAGACCCCCTCCCCCCTCAGGGTCCGTCCCCTTCAGGTGTGTCCCAGGTAGACGCACTGGAGCCTGTCGAGGTCACTGGTGACTCTGGTGCTGCTGAGGGTGCTGAGCCTGGGGGTGCTGACTCTGAGGGTGCTGAGCCTGGGGGTGCTGCGACTGGGGGTGCTGAGCCTGGGGGTGCTGAGCCTGGGTGTACTAAGACTAGGGGTGCTGAGCCTGGGGGTGCTGAGTCTGGGGGTGCTGAACCTGGGGGTGCTGAGCCTGGGTGTGCTGAGCCTGGGGGTGCTGAGCTTGGAGGTGCTCCGCCTGGAGGTTCTCCGGGTGCTTCGTCTCGGCGGGAGCCACTCTCTCCACGGGAACTGCGCAAGTGGTTTGCCCGGCGCTGGAGGCGTGCTGCAGGTGCGGGTCCCGGCCGTGCTCGTACTGGGAGTACTGGAGCTGCTGGGCCTGCGGGTTCGACTGGAGCTGGTGCTGCTGAGGGTGTTGGAGCTGAGACTACTGCTGGAGGTTCTGGCGCTGCTGGTGGTGCAGCTAGAGCGGGTGCTCCTGCTGGGGGTACTGGTGCTGTACCTGCTGTGTCTGGCGTCGCTGCGCGGCCTCGACCGTACTTCGTTCCACTCCTGCAGCAGGTTCTTGGTCTTCCGCCTTCTACTGGTCCTCCTCCTTCTTTAGAGTGTCCACAGCCAGTCCCGTCACAGTTACAGTTGCAGCCTACCTTCCCTTTGCCTGCTCCTTCTCCCTACACTGGTCCTATTGGAGGTCTTACTGAGCGTCGTGAGCCTGCGTCTCGCCCTGCGTCGCCTGTCCGTGCTGCTCGTGCTAGTGGTCGTGGTTCGCGTCAGCATCCTCGTCCTGTCTCTGGCACGCACAGGATGTCTCTGCGTCCGTCCACTGCTTCTCTGCGTGCCCCTTTGCCTTCTCCTCCTGAGTCCTTTCTTCCTGCACTTGCCGACCCGGAGTCGGACTCTCTTCGTGCTGCTAGTCCTACTGTCACGCGTCTCCTGGCTACTGTCGTCACTGACCCTTCTTTCGAGTCCACTGCTGCGTCTGCCCTAGTTGCTGAGCTCGTCGACTTTGCTGCTCGCTGTCGCCTAGACTACGCTGCTAGTCTTGTCGCTGAGTCTGAGTCTGTCTGTCCTTCGTCCGTCGGGGGTGAGTGTGCCCTTGGCATGGACGTCCTTGAGGACAGGCAGGAGGAGTTCCAGTGCTTGGCCGCTGCTTCACCTCATCTCTTGTCCGTACTGCTTACCCCTGAGGGAGACCCGGATGCACTTGACATCCCGACTCCGCGCTCTTACGCGGAGGCGATAGAGGGTCCCTACTCTTCTCAGTGGCAGGCAGCTATGGATGCAGAGATGGCTTCCTGGAAGTCCACAGGCACCTACGTTGACGCTGTCCCCCCTCCTGGGGTGAACATCGTCAGTGGCATGTGGATCTTTAGGGTGAAACGGTCGCCGGGTTCACCGCCTGTCTTCAAGGCGCGTTACGTGGCTCGTGGCTTCAGTCAGCGGCAGGGAGTTGACTACTTTCAGACCTTCTCTCCCACCCCGAAGATGACCACTCTTCGGGTACTGCTGCACGTTGCTGCTCACCGTGACTACGAGCTGCACTCTCTCGACTTCAGCACTGCTTTCTTGCAGGGCAGCCTGCACGAGGAGATCTGGCTGCGCCGCCCACCTGGCTTCACTGGGTCTTTCCCTCATGGTACCCAGTGGAGTCTCCGGCGTCCAGTCTACGGTCTCCGCCAGGCGCCACGTGAGTGGCACGACACACTGAGGACTACGCTTGCGGCTCTTGGGTTTGCTCCTTCTACTGCCGACCCGTCGCTGTTTCTGCGCACCGACACCTCTTTGCCGCCGTTCTACATCCTCGTGTACGTCGACGACTTGGTCTTTGCCACAGCTGACACTGCTGGACTCGCCTATGTGAAGTCCGAGGTGCAGAAAAGACACACGTGCACAGACCTGGGTGAACTGCGCAGCTACCTTGGTTTGCAGATCACCCGGGATAGAGCACGCCGCACCATTACCCTCACTCAGTCACACATGGTGCAGCAGGTCCTTCAGCGCTTCGGCTTCACGTACTCCTCGCCTCAGGCCACTCCTCTGCCTACTCGCCACTCACTCTCAGCTCTGCCTTCGGATGAGTCCGTAGAGTCGAGTGGCCCGTTTGCAGAGCTTGTTGGCTGCCTCATGTACCTGATGACCTGCACACGACCTGACCTTGCATACCCTCTTAGCATTCTCGCACGCTATGTTGCTCCTGGGAGACACCGACTAGAGCACATGACTGCAGCGAAGAGGGTGTTGCGCTACTTGTGCAGTACGTCGGGCATGGGGCTAGTGCTTGGAGGGCGGAGTCCAGTAGTCCTCAGTGGGCACGCGGACGCTTCTTGGGCTGACGACCAGGCTACGCAGCGGTCGTCACAGGGTTACACCTTCAGCCTTGGTTCCGGCTCTGTTTCGTGGCGGGCTACTCGCTCGTCTTCTGTTCTCGGCTCCAGTTGTGAGGCTGAGATCTACGCCGGGGCCATGGCTGCACAGGAGCTTCGCTGGCTCACCTACCTGCTGACCGACCTTGGAGAGTCGCCTCGTTCTCCTCCAGTCCTGTACGTAGACAACAAGGCCATGCTGGCCTTGTGTCGAGAGTAGAGACTGGAGCACAGAACAAAGCACATTGCTCTTCGCTACTTCGTTGCTCGTGAGCTACAGCAGCGTGGACAGTTGCGGCTTGCGTACGTGGCCTCTGAGGCCAACACTGCTGATGTCTTCACCAAGGCACTTGCGCCTTGTGATCATCAGCGCTTCTGCACCCAGCTGGGTCTTGTACCTGTCTTGCCTCACTTGCTCACCTCTTGACCTTTCTTGTACTGTTACATATATATATATATATATATATATATATATATATATATCTGCTCTTGCTTGTCTAGCCTTATATATATATCTGTGTACTCCTGCATGTAAACTGGCTTTGTGGCCTTGAACTTGTGCTCGGAATGTGTGGTGAATTTGTGATCCACCCTTTACTTGTTTTGCTTTGCTTTGCTTGACTGGTCTTGTGATCCCTTGTTCTCCCCCACTTTGCTTATGGGGGTGTGTCAAAACATAGTTTGTGGTTATTGTGTAGGCTATAGTGGGGTAGCCCATAAGGGGTACAACCCAATTAGGGTCAGTACTTGTACTCAATTCATTCATATTTCATTCATTCTCGTTTCTACTTTCTCAACCACCTGACCAAGAAGCTCGGAAAGCAGAAGTTCGAATACTGTATGCTGCTGACTGGACAGAGCCACGTCAGCGACACTCCAGAAGCGAAGGCACAAGCGAAGCAAAACATATCGAGGCACCAGCGAGTCAACCCTCGGAGGTTGAAGTAACTGCTGGAGGTTACGCGAAAGTGAAAGGACAACGACTTTTGACCTGACAAGTACAGCGCGATAGCAAGGACACACAACTGACTCGCTACAGAGCAGTTGCCCGAGTCGTCAATGTATCGAACCGTAACAGCAACAAGTAAAACAGTTATAACCGTATCTTTTCATATTCCTTGTACACTTATATAATATTGTATCTCATTGTTTTAATTAATTTACTTTGCCCTCACATACTAGCGCAAGGTGGTTCACAACTCTTTATTAACGCTTCCGCTACTATACCATCTATACCCAGAATTCACCCCTGCAAAGATCCTAAGGGCTTTTCAGCCTAACATCGTCTAGCCAGCTGCCTTGCCTGCCCACGTCCTATCCCATCCCACGCTACCACAGCCAACCCACTTTGCCTCATCCTACCCTACCCCACCTCACCCTACCCCAACCAGCCCTACTCACTCTGCCTCATCCCACTCTTACCAAACCAACCTAGTTCCACTGCCCCATCTCATCTGCCCCTTCCCAACCCACTCTGCCTCATCCTACACAACCCACGCTACCTCATCCCACCCAACCCTATCCAATCCACTCTGTCTCATCCAACGCACCCCCACCCTACCTAGTCCACTCCCCCACATCCCACAGTACCCTGCCAAGCCAACTGCACCTTCCACCATACCGAATCCAAGCCACTCTGCTTGATTCGCACCTAACCCACTACTCCTCATCCCATTCTACCTTAAACCAGCCCAGCCCCCATCAAGCATCCACCACCCACCAACCATCACCCAATACCATCCACCATCCACCACCTATCCACTTACCCACCCACCACCTACCCACCAGCCCACCTACCCACCCACCCACCTACCAACTAGCCCACCCAACGACCCTCTCACCTAGCCACCACCCAGCGACACATTGCTACACCTACCCATCTACCCACGCACCTATTCACCCACCCTCCCACTCCATCACCCCCCTACCCATCTACCCACCCACCTATTCACCCACCCACCCACCCACCCACCCACCCCATAATCCACCCAACCCATATACAATTTAGGTGGGTACCTATTCACCCACCTACCCACTCTATCACCCTACCACCTTCTACCCACCCACCTACTCACCTACCCCCCCAACCCTCACCACCACCTTACCACCCTACCCACCTTACCCCCCTCATCCTACCCAACCCTATCCAACCCACCTTCCCCTCACTCACCCACCCAGCCCCACGTTACCTGCCAGCAGTAGGAGCAGCAGACAGCCCACTCCCCTTTGGAAACTGCACCACCAGGGGCTGTGCCTTGAAGGGCGGGTTGTGGTAGTGGAAAATTGCTTCCAGCCCAAGACTCAAATCCCACCCCTGACGTAGCTAGAGCTGACGCGAACCAGAGTTGCCGGCCGGTCGACTCTGACGGTGCCAATTAAGCCTTAACGTCAGGTTAGTTACTTGAGCACCGAGTGCCGTGCCGCGCAGATTCCACCCACCACACCCCGACCCGCAAGGCACATCCCTAGAGGATGCTGCTCCTGAGAGAGTGACCTGCCCACTTGCTCCCATGCTCCCACCGCCTCCCCACTCTCCCCTTCACCCCATGCCTCTTTCCTCTACCTACCACAACCATGCAGAGCGCCATGTTGCCTCAGGGTGTTGGGAAGTGGGGAGGGAGGAGGAGGGGGAGGGGGGGGGTGGGGGGGGTTTAGTGCAATGGCTCTGTCCCGCCCTTGCTCCCTCTCTCCCTCAGGCTGTATTGACCGTGCTGGAACATGGGGAGGGGGGCAGCGGGAGGGAGAAGGGGAGGGGTAGGTGAGGATGAAAAAAGAGATGCCTCTGTCCCGACCTTGCTGCAGTGCTCCATCCATACTCAGGCTGCAAAGAGGGGTGGGGAGGAAGAAAGAGAGGAGGGGATCAGATCTCCATACCAAACCTGTTACCATACCTTACCTAATACCATACCACACCTCGCTCACGACTCGACCTAACCTAGCCCGCCTCTAACCCCCCACCCCCCGCTGCTGCTGCTGCTGCTGCCGCTTCTGCTGCTACAACTGCTGCTGCCGGTCTGCTACTCAGCTTCTATGCTACAGTCTTCTCTCGATGCCCAGTGGCCTGCAGGGGTGGGGGCAGAAGAATAGGGGGAACGTAAAAGTAAGTGAATAGGCTGGACTAGAGAAACCAATGAACTGAAGTTGACGAGAAAGAGAAGGCGGAACTACAGAGCAGAAATAGAGAGGGTTGAGGGCGAAAGGGGAGGCGGCGTACCTTTAGAGGCCAAGCCCAACCCGATACTCTCCCTTGTGGCAGCGACTGGCAGAGCTGCCCCCCTCCCATCCCCACAGACAGGCACCTGCACGGCCCCAGGCGAGGGGGGTGGAGGCAGATGAAAGGGGGGAAGTAAAAGCAAGTGAGTTGGCTGGACCAGAAAAGGAAAAACAAAACTGAAGATGATGAAATCGAGAAGGCAAAACTGAAGAACAGAAAGAGAGAGAGACGAGGGCAAGAGGGCAGGTGACGTACTTTGAGAGGCCAAGCCCACCCTAATACTCTCCCCTGTGGTAGCGACTGGCAGTGCTGCCTCCCTCCCATCCCCACAGGTACCTGCACGGCCACAGGGGAGGGGCGTGAGGGAGCGTCGGTGTTGACCCCTGCCCCACCCCTCCATCTGCAAGGCACACACGCAGAGCTGGTCCCTAACCAGTGGCACTGCTTCAAGAGGAAGGGTGCGAAAGCAGATGCGAAAAACGAAATGGCAGCAGCAAGGGCGAGGGCATGGAGGAAGGGACATTTAGCTGATTGTGTGAGAGCGAGCAGAGGGCAGCTGAAGCACCACCACAGTCTTCACTCGATGCCAAGTGACCTGGTAAGGGGGGAAGAAAGGGGGGGAGTAAGAGCAAGTGAGTTGGCAAGACTAGCAAGAAAACAAACTAAACCTGAGGAAAATGAGAACGAAGAGCAGAAAGGGAGAGGGATGAGGGCAAGAGAGAGGCTCACGTACCTTGAGAGGCCAAGCCCACCCCGATACTCTCCCTCGTGGCAGCGACTGGCAGTGCTGCCTCCCTCCCATCCCCAAGGGTACCTGCACGGCCACAGGGGAGGGGCGTGAGGGAGCGTCGGTGCTGACCCCCGCCCCTCCCCTCCACCTGCAAGGCACACGCAGAGCTGGTCAGTGGGCAGCGAGGGGAGGAAGGGTGAGAGTGCAAGAGCGAGAAGAGAGTTTGCAAGGCGAGAGCAGAGAGGGGCCACTGGTGGAGGCCAAGCCACAAAGCAGACCCCAAGGGGTGAACCTGAGAGAGTACCTGCACCTGAAGGGGTTACCTGCACCTGATCTACACCTGAGGGATAACCTGGAGTTGGGGGGTCTGTGGCATGTGAGGCGGACCTAACCAGTCGCACTGCTTCAAGGGGAAGGGTGCGAAAGCAGATGCGAAAAACGAAATGGGCGAGGGCATGGAGGAAGGGACACTTCGCTGATTGTGTGAGAGCGAGAAGCAGGCAGCTGAAGCACCACTGCAGTCTTCACTCGATGCCAAGTGACCTGGTAAGGGGGGAAGAAAAGGGGGAGTAAGAGCAAGTGAGTTGGCATGACTAGCAAGAAAACAAACTAAAGCTGAGGAAAATGAGAACGAAGAGCAGAAAGGGAGAGGGATGAGGGCAAGAGAGAGGCTCACGTACCTTGAGAGGCCAAGCCCACCCCGATACTCTCCCTCGTGGCAGCGACTGGCAGTGCTGCCTCCCTCCCATCCCCACAGGTACCTGCACGGCCACAGGGGAGGGGCGTGAGGGAGCGTCGGTGTTGACCCCCGCCCCTCCCCTCCACCTGCAAGGCACACGCAGAGCTGGTCAGTGGGCAGTCTAGTCATCCAGCAGAGTAAACAAGTGCGAGTCGCACAGGCAGGGCGAGAGAGGGAAATGGCTACTGGAGGGGGCAGGAGCACAAGGCACAGACTGCAAGGGGACCTAAGGAGGTGACTTGAACCTGAACCTGAACCTGAGGGGTCCGTAGGCAAACCTGAACCTGAGCGGGAGAGCATACCTGAAGTCAGGGGGAGAGTCTGTGGCTTGTGAGGCTGGCCCCAACCAGTGGCGAAAGTTTCAGGAGCAAAGAGAAAGCAAGGAGTATGAACGATGCGCAGCAAGCAAAGGTGAGGGACAAATATGAGGAGGAGTGACTTAACTGGCAGATGAAGAGCCGCCAACAGGGCTGTTGCCTCATCCCTCCCTCCCCTCCCCTTCTCCTCTCCCTTCTCTACTGCCTTTCCGCAGCTGAGAAAGCCGCCCACAAGGCACAACCGCTATGCACACACATAGCCACTCCGCTCCCTCCTCTGCTGCATGCGGAGTGAACTTGTGGGGAGGGCAGGTGTGTGATTGGGGAGCAGAGGAGGAGTGGGGAGGGCAATGAGGAAAGAAGCAAAAACTAGTGATTGAAGTGAGAAGGAAGCAAGAAGGAAATCACAAGAATGATGTGTGCATGAATCGAGTGCTACAGTGGCACACCCAAGAGACCTCATACCAGCTGAACCACACTAAATCAAATACCTGCGAACATACCTGCTACCTTGATACCTTGGGGGAGGGAGGTCTCTTGAGCGTGACAAACGGCAGTAAATAAGGGGGTTTGATGTATGATGCAAGCGAAACATGAAAGCCAACACAAGTATGAGGGTTGGGCGCAGAGAGCGCTGCGTGTGGGCCCGAAATGGCAGGTGGCGGGAGTGGTTGAGGCACCCAGCAGCTTCGCACCCGTCCGGGGGGTGGGAATAGCGTGGCGTACGGCGGCCTGCAGTGGCGGGTGGAGACACGCGCTTATAGCTCGCGAAACGTACTGCGAAACAAAATTGATTTGCGAAATCGAAATCTGGAATCTAATCGCGAAATCGGGACGGGAAAACTGAAACGCGACAACTATGTGTGAAAACGACCAGTGAATCGGAAAAGCGATATTGAGATACAACACGTGCGGGATTCTCATCCGCGAAATCGATTTGCTAAACTGACTTTTGAAAATACCTGAGCTGCCAGTTGAACTGAAATCGCATGTATTGGCCGAAATCGCACGGACAGCCAGATGGCGTCGGTGACATTTCGCCTCGGACGGACAGAACCTGCAAATTGCAACCAGCAAGCAGTCGTCACGTCAGACGTGCCACTGAACAATCTCGCGTGTGGTAAAACGAAATCATATCACACCACTAATAAGACGCGGATACGAGAAAAATAAGCACACGCACTCAAATTTACCTTGTACTCAGTATCGCCATCTCCGCACTTGTTTTTGCATGGTCATGGCATAAATTGCCAAGCGTCCAGGCTTCAGCACCCGATTTTCTTCTTCCGTAAACGAAGCTCCCGTAAAAGCCAGATCTGAAAGGCAGAATGCCTATGCTTGTGTTAAGAACGAGAATCGCTAGCGGCTCTCCTTTGTACGCAGCTTCTCCAATAAAACCAGACATACTCTTCTAGCTTGTACTGAAAATGAGCTTCGCTAACGCCTCGCATATTCGCAGTCGCAGCAGCTCTAAGAAAACGAGCAGAAGAAGCTGAGCGAGAAAAAATGAGAGCAAGAGGCGAAAGCGCTGTGAAATCCGAGGCTCAGGCGAGAATGAGGCGAGAGACGACGGTCATGCTGGAATGAGGCGGAGGGGTCACCAACTGCGTCTCCTCTCCTCTCCTCACAACAACACTCTTCAGATCTACCGTCCAGAATCACTGGATTGACTGAAACTCTCTTGGTAACTCAGATCTCAGCCGTAGGTTCGGACCTTTGCGTGTTTCGTCACGGCAACCCTTAGCATCTCCGCATTGGTCTACCGGCTAACCGGCTGTGTTGGGTCGCGAGGAAAAGTGGCGGTGGAGGCGAATGGTTGGTCCGGTCAGGCATATTCTTTATCGATGACAGGGAGATTCGCAATTCCACTTCGGTGGCTGGTTGAAAATCGTCCGCGTGGCACATGAATCTGCCGGTCAGGGAAGGGAAAAGAAAGTTCTCAAGTTTACGTCGTTCGCTTGTCACCGCCTTTCACCTCAGCACCTACGTGAGACAAACAACACCGACTCTTTTCAGCGAGATTCCGTTGACAAAGGCAGGAGCTGCGGGATTTCGCTGGTGAACGTTGGACTCCGTGATCTAGGAACCGTCGATTGTCCTCCCATCTGGAGCCGCAGAGTCATTGTGTCAGTTTGGAACGCGGCAAGCCCAATGGCTTGAATTTGAAGCCGTGGTTCCAGCCACTAGGAGCAAAGTCAATCCTAGCCGTGGATACAGATTCTAAGCAAGCGGTTGCGATTGAGATTTGGGGTTGAGGCTGTCCATCTGATCTGACCTTTGGGAAAAATGGGCGAAGTTGGCGAACGATCTCTGCCACCTATTCTGTTACTCGTCGCTGATTCCTCGGAGGAACCAATTTTCCTGACACCACTGATACGGGAATATGAGCCTGAAAGCCAACTCATTGTTCCGAAAAAATAGATGCAGGTACCGTATCCCCCCGGATATACCCCCATGGGGGGCAATAATAAAACAGGTTTTTTCATGGGGGTGGGCTTATAATCGAGTAAATTTATAAGCGCCGGCGTTTATAAAATGACATACATATTTTTTTATATCTTTTAACACCAAACTGTAGGTCTCGTGCTTGCCTTTTCAATCGAGTCGAAGTTACATGGGATCGTCTGTGAAATTCTCGCGCGCGCTGGGAGATACACCCAATCTGACTCACATCCAGCTCCTGACAGGTCCTGCTGACTGGACCCGCATCCAGTGCAGGGTCCGAATGTGAAGGGAACCGATTCTGCAACATATCCGCCTGCTAAAGTAAAAATCGTTACAGCTTTTTGAACACATTTCAAATTTTAAAGTTTACGTGCGCTTATAATAAAACAAGTTTTTTCAAGGGGTGCGCTTATAATCGAGGAGGGGATATAAGCGCCATATGCCAATTAGAAGCGCCAGGCGCTTATCCTAGGGTGGCGCTTATATCCGGGGGGAGACGGTACATCAAGCAATAGTAGAAGAAGAAATCAAAGCATTACGAAAGGCATAATAAGAAGAGGAATATAACTAGTCCAGCATGTAAACTTGATGCAAAGTCTACTATATGTCAGAATCCCAACCACTAGACCATTGGGATAAAAGGGCTTGTTAAGTAGCGAGTCAGTGCGCCCATAACCCCCCAGGCGAACGCGCCTGTAACCCTCTCCAGGATCAATCGGACATCCACAGTGCAGATCTACTGACACCCCCCCACAATGGGAGGCCCAGGACTAAGCACAGCGGCAACGGCCTACATGTGCATACACCGGGAATCGAACCCGAGACCGCTCTGATACCATGTCAGAATCCCAACCACTAGACCATTGGGATAAAAGGGCTTGTTAAGTAGCGAGTCAGTGCGCCCATAACCCCCCAGGCGAACGCGCATGTAACCCTCTCCAGGATCAATCGGGCATCCACAGTGCAGATCTACTGACACTATACTCACCATCTTTATTTGCTGTGCGATATTATTCGCAATGCAACATGCCTGGATGTCAGCATATGATTTCATAAAATCATGATACCGTACTTTCGTAGGGTGAGTTGAGATCCACATTATCAAGCTACATGATGCCACTACACTTACAAAACACAACTCTATAAAGTATACGGTATACGGAATATGCGTTTCAGGATGTTGGGCTGAGAAAAGCCCTTAGGATCTTTGCAAGACTAAACTCCAGGGCCCGTGCTAGGTTTTGGGGCACCCTGAGTCCTCAGGGCACTTTTCTGGAATCCAAAAAAATGCCCTGATTTCTCAGGGCAAATCTTCTGAGCCTTCCTGATTGGTCAGGGCTTTTGCAGAAAATAATCCTGACGTGTCAGGGCAAAATTAGTAGCGTTCAGGGTTCTGATTTTAGCACAAACAGACCAGACCAGACTCTGTTCTGTTTAGCATAGCAGAGCAGCCGCAGCGCTGCAGCGCACATACAGTTGGTGTTTTACTAGGTAATTAACTCCTGCACCACCTCTCCTAGCCCTCCTCCTCATCATCATCATCTTCGCTGCTGCTACTAAACCCACTGTCGCTGCTGCTGCCACTGCCATGTTCAGTATCTGCTTCTTGTCCGTCCTCCCCCCCGTTCCCCTTCCCCGCCTTCCTCTGCTGCTCCCTTCTCTTAGTAGGCCTCCTCTTCTTGCTGCTGCGCCACAAATCCACCACTTTACCCCATTCCATGTCATACTCAGTTAGGCTCAGGCACATCAAGTCACTGAGCCTGGCATCACAGAGGCTGGTCCTCTGCCAGGACTTAATCACGTTCTGGCGGCTAAAGCCGCGCTCACACTCGACGGTGCTGAGCGGCAGGACAGCCACCGCCGTCCAGAGGCGGACGAGGTTGGGGTAGCTCCGCTCCCAGTCCTTCGTTTTCAGCATGGCCGCCAGTCCGCGTTGAAATGTGCGCTCGCCTTTGGGAGCGCCAGCCAGAAAAGGGACAAATGTCCTCAGTTCCTTCTTGGCAGCTCGCTTGTCCACTCGTGCCATGCCAAGCATAACACAACACACATAACAGTGACAGAGCAGGGGCAGAACAAGTCAGAGAGGTGGAAATGTTGACAGCTCCTTCGCCAGCAGCGCCGTAGTTTGTGCCGTGTCCTGCGTGCTTGATACACAAGCTGCACCTCACTGATGGGAAACCGAATGAAGTTTGACAAAGCACGAGCCACGGGAAATCACTTGACCATTCCCGTTTGTACTTCGTAAGCGCCTCCTGGTATTTATCCTCTGCCTCATCGCGAAGTTCCTCTGTAGCTGAAGATGCTGCAGGAACGGCCGATGGTCCTGGAAGAGCTGGCTCTAAGCGGATACGTACGGTGGGTTCCGTAGGACTTTCGCGAGAGAACGACAAGCGCGACTGTTTGTGCTTGGTCGCTCTTAATTTAGCAGTAGCGGCAGGGCCCATGCGTGTCGCACCAGGTGGTACAACGGTGGGGCCGTTCGTATCAGCACGGTCGGCTGTGACTGCGGGAGTTCGAGATGATATAGCTGCAGGTGAGGGTGTTGGTAATGTGGACACAGTCCGAACAGGACGCAGGAAGTCCAATCCGGTTAGACCTCGTGATACTGGCGTCGCGCCATCGTGCTCGTTAGCCATCACTAGTCCTATTGAGCCAGGCTAGCTTCACTTCTGCTACTCTAGTGGCAACGCTGGTAGGGTGTTGGTTGGATGGATTATGGAGGAGTGCTCAACGAGGTCGAGAGAGAGACACACGAGGAGTTGCCTTGTTGCCCAACCTGTTTCCAGTCTGATGGGTTAGGGCTTGGCTAGTGCCTTGCGGGGGATCGGAACTGAACGCTCAAAGACATCATGCGAAGGCGGGAAACATACACGGGGAGAAAATTCAATGGAGAAAAAACTCCCCGTACCGCGCCAGCCCCCCCCCCCCCCCCCCCCCCCCCAAAAAAAAAACGCGTCAGGGTAGGCCTCGGTATTCATCCTGATGTTACAGGGGGAAACACTACGGCCATCCTGAATGTACAGGGCACTTCATATAAAGACATCCTGTGATCTCAGGGTGAAAATTGTCATTATTCTGAAATAGCAGGGTAAATACAAAACTGCATCCTGAATTCAGGGTAATCAGGATGTTTTGCCCTGATAACGTGGGCCCTGCTAAACTCCGAGTAGGAACAATGTAATAGCGGAAGCGATTAATGATAAGTCTGTGAACCACCTTGCGCTGGTATGTGAGGGCAAAGTAGATTGAATAATTAAAAGAGATACAAGGCTTTTATAAGAGTACAAAGGAATATGAAAGGTTATAGCTAATAACTGTTTTACTGTTGCTGTTGCGGTTCGATACAGTGACGACTCGGGCAACTGCTCAGTAACGAGTCAGTTGTTTGTCCTTGCTGTCGCGCTGTACTTGTTAGGTCAAAGGTCGCCGACCTTTGACTTTCGCGTAACCTCCAGCAGTTGTTCAACCTCCGAGGGTTGACTCGCCGATGCTTCACTGTACTTCGCTTCGTTTACGACTTAGTGCTTCGACATGACAGAGGCGCTTAAAGCCAGCAGCTAAAATAGTGACCCCTGTCAGAATTTATATATGTAACTGCCTGTAGCTGTAGTTAGTGTAGTTATTATAAACTTTGTTAGGTGGTGCACCTTCTTTGTTCACATGCTATATGTTCTTGCAAACCTATAGTGAACTCACTTCATTCCAACTTTCTCGATACCCTTGCCTTGGCACAACTCACTCGATCTCCTTGGCCTAGGCTACTAAGCCTAGGCCGTCCTAAACTCTCAACTACCTATTAAGCTAGTATCACAACATGGATTCAGAGCGTGTTTCGTCCTGGCCTGTGGGCCCGCCTAATGCTTCCGCTGCTATTTTTCCGGTTGCGCGCCTAGGGCGCGTGGCGATTTTCGTCTTGTCCCGCCCCCGGGTGGCGAGTGACACCTTCTCTGCCCGTCGCGCGCCCCGTGGCACGTGACGGTGCCCTAAACTTGCCCGTCGTGCGCCCCGTGGCACGCGACGGTGCCCTGCTCGTCGTGCGCCCCGAGGCACACGACGGTGCCCTTATCTTGAACTTGCCCGTCGTGCGCCCCGTGGCACGCGACGGTGCTCTGCTCGTCGTGCGCCCCGTGGCATGCGCGACGGTGCCCTTGAGCCGCCGCAAAACCGCCCCTGGCGCCTGCGACGGTGTCCTGAACCGCCCAGTACCCGCCCCTGGCGCACTCGGCGGTGCCTCTGCTTCACCCCGCGCCTGCACTCCCTACAGCCGCCCCTGACCTACCTGCGCCGACAATATGTAGCCGCTCTGCGGCTTTCTTCTCGCCCACCCCCTCCTCCTTCGTCTCCCTGCAGCCGTGGGGGGGAGGGTATGGGGGTGGCGGGTGTTGGAGTGTTGGGTAGTGTGCTCCCCTTCCCCTCCTCCTCCTTTCGTTCCCACTGCTGCAGCTGCAGCTGGGGGGGAGGGTGTGAGGGTGTGGGGGAGCTGGGGGAGTGGCACTGGGGTGGCGGGTGTGAGACCATCCAGCAGCCGTCCCTCCAACTATCCTCTCTTCCCCCCTCTGCTGCTCCTGCAGCAGTGTGGGGGGGAGGGGGAGGGGGAGGGGGAGGGGGAGGGGGAGGGGGAGGGGGAGGGGGAGGGTGAGGAGATGGATGGGGTGACCAGTCAGAGCCAGCCCGCCTCCTCACTCTCTCTGCTGCCCCCAGATGGGGGGGGAGAGGGTAAGGGGGTGGTTGCTGCTGTACCTTCTTTGTTACCGTACCTGCTGTTGCTGTTGCTTGTGTACCCCTGCAGGTTGTGTTCTGCACAAACTCCTGCTGTAGGCAGTTATGGGGGAGTGTCAGAATTTATATATGTAACTGCCTGTAGCTGTAGTTAGTGTAGTTATTATAAACTTTGTTAGATGGTGCACCTTCTTTGTTCACATGCTATATGTTTTTGCAAACCTATAGTGAACTCACTTCATTCCAACTTTCTCGATACCCTTGCCTTGGCACAACTCACTCGATCTCCTTGGCCTAGGCTACTAAGCCTAGGCCGTCCTAAACTCTCAACTACCTATTAAGCTAGTATCACAACAACCCCCCCCTTTCTAGTGGATCCACTTGAAATCTCAAACTAACTTTTTAATGCTTTTGACGGTTGAAGCGTTGTTCTGTTTTGTTTTTCAGACGCGTTCAAGTCTTCACAGTGATTTAAAAAAAAAATGTCGCAAACATGTGCAAATGCGACGTGCGATTCCCGATTACACGAGGGGGCCAATTTCAACAGGTTTTGCATGTGCAATTCACGCACAACGCCTCAGACATGGACCTGCTGGAGCGGCACAAACAGCGTAGGAAAAGCAGAAATGCAAAAAAAACAGAGAAGTTTTATGTTAGGAATAAAAAAACAAAGAACGAGAAGGAAACGACAACGCACGTAGAGAGCTGATTGAGCGAAAATTGTGGAATGGTAGGGTGTGGGGAGATGGGAGGGGAGAAATGAAGGGTGACTTGCAGGCATTTCGGGGCGAGCGCGAAGGTGCCGAGATGGGTGATGGGAGGGGAGAAACGAAGGGCGACGGGCAGGCATTTCGGGGCGAGCGCCAGGGCGCCAAGGTGGGTGACGGAGGGGAGAGAGGAAGGGCGATGACTGTTTCGAGGGAGAGAGGATAGGCGACGGGAGAGATAAAGGGCGACGGGAGAGAGGATAGGCGACGGGAGAAAGGAAGGGCGACGGGAGAGAGGATCGGCGACGGGAGAGATAAAGGGCGATGGGAGGGAGGGCAACGGGAAAGAGAAAGGGCGACGTGACAGAGAAAGGGCGACGGGAGAGAGCAAGGGCGACGAGAGAGAGAAAGGGCGACGTGACAGAGAAAGGGCGACGGGAGAGAGAAAGGGCGACGGGGGAGAGAAAGGGCGACGGGGGAGAGAAAGGGCGACGGGGGAGAGAAAGGGCGACGGGGGAGAGGATAGGCGAGGGGAGATAGGAAGGGCGGAGGGAGGGGCGACAGGATGGGCGACGGGAAGGGCGACGGGATCGACGACGGGATGGGCGACGGGATGGGCGACGAGATGGGCGATGGTATGGGCGACGGGATGGACGAAGGGATGGGCGATGAGAAGGCAGCGGGACGAGCCACGGAAGGGCGGCGACAATCGCGTGGGTAAGGGAGGCAAGAGGAGATCACGTGGGTGACGGGACGGAAAAACGCGGGCGCAAAGGGACAGACTGAAAAGCTTACACTCATAGCTTTCGGATACAACACGACGGACATTCTGATTAATACATGTGTAGATAACGAGGGCCTAAGTTGAGACATAGCCTATGCCTAGCCTAGCTACTTAGAACTTCCGACGCAAAATTGGTAGTAGTTCACCCCATCCCAACTTGAAACATCAGTTGGGCCCAAATCGCTTGGACAGACTGAAACGACCGCCTGTGCAATTGTCGTGCGGGCTTAGCAATGAGAAGTGCGACGCCACACATCAGGAAAATGTCTCAATTTTGGCGGGAACCAATCAAAGGTGTTCGATTTGCACGTCCGCAGCGTTTGAAACGGTACAAACTTCTCAGTCTGTCAAAACTTTGTTTCGCCCGGCAAACTCGTCCCTGCGCCCTTTCAAGTTGGGTTTGGGTTCACTATTTTGCATCTCGGTTTTAAATTACTTGTTTCCAACACCCCCCTGTCAAACTCATATGCTATAGTCTGTGTAGGCTGTAGTGGGGTAGACAATATGGGGTACAACACTTTTAGGTTTTCCTACTTGTACCCACCTGCTTCCTAGTTCATTCATTCCTCATTTCTTCACATGGTATAGAGCAGGTTCCCTAGTGGGAATGCTTCTCAGGGCCCACCACTGAAATCGACTTTTTTTTCCTGACCGGAGCGCGAGTCGCCCCTGCCCGAGGCGCGCCCCTTTGGCCGCCCTCACGTCGCCTCTCACGGCCCCTCGCACCACCCTTAAAGGCCCCTTCGCCACCCCTTACATCCCCGTCGCCGTCCTTTGCGGCCACGTTGCCGCCCCTCTAGGCCCCTCACGGCCCCTTCGCAGCCCCGTCGCCGCCCCTCTAGGCCCCTCGCGGCCCCTTTGCGGCCCCGTCGCCGCCCCTAGCGGCCCCGTCGCCGCCCTTCGAGGCCCCTCGCGGCCCCTTTGTGGCCAAATCGCCGCCCCTATCGGCCCCATCGCCGCCCCTAGCGGCCCCGTCGCCGCCCCTAGCGGCCCCGTCGCCGCCCTTCGCGGCCCCGTCGCCGCCCTTCGCGGCCCCGTCTCCACCCCTAGCGGCCCCGTCGCCGCCCTTCGCGGCCCCGTCGCCGCCTCTAGCTGCCCCGTCGCCGCCCTTCGCGGCCCCGTTGCCGCCTCTAGCGGCCCCGTCGCCGCCTCTAGCGGCCCCGTCGCCACCCCTCACGGCCCCTTCAGCTGCCAAGCAGCCGAGCCGCCCAGCAGCCGAGCCGCCCAGCAGCCGAGGCCGCTGTCGAGCCGCCACTACCGAGCCGCTGCCGCCGAGCCGCCGTCGAGCCGCTACTGGTCCTACCGGCGCGCACCGGCCCTACCCTCCCGGACTGGTGAGAGCACTCCATGCTAGACCACTGCTGTCATGGCTACCCCCAGTGTCTTTACCTTTGATGCTGAGGGTCGTGCTGTTGACTTTGAGGTCTGGGTCGATGACCTCCAGCTCTTCCTACAGTGCGATAGGGAAGACGGACTCTCCCTGTTTGATCTCACCTCTGGTGCCTCTCCTGCCCCATTTGCTGATGCTGACAGCATTGTTCGCTCACAGTGGGCCACACGCGATGCTGCTGCCCGTCTTGCTGTGCATCGCCACTTACCGACCGCTGAGCGTGCGCACTTTAGTCAGTACAAGAGTGCTAAGACCTTGTACGACGCTGTAGCTGCACGCTACTCTTCCCCTGCCACTGCTGCTCTTAGCCGCCTCATGCTGCCGTACCTGTTCCCTGACCTTGCTGCCTTTCCCACAGTCGCTGACCTCATTACGCACCTTCGCACTAGTGACACTCGCTACCGCGCTGCGCTTCCTGTTGAGTTTTGTGCCAAGAACCCTCCCCCCATGTACATCACCCTCTACTACATAGTCACCCGGCTCCCTGACTCCCTTCGCCTAGTTAGGGACCAGTTCCTCTCAGTTTGCCCCACCACACTCACCGTTGACATCCTCGAGGAGCGCCTCCTGGCAGCAGAGAAGAGCATAGTCGCTGTAGGAGCCTCTCGTGGTGACCCTCGTACCCCCGTCTTTGAGGGGTGTTCCCCCTCCCCTCTCTAGCCCTCTGTTGCTTCTGCTGCTGCGGCCGACCTCGTTGGCTTCGAGTCGGTCGGCGCTGCGTCTGCCCCTAGCGGGAGACGCCGCACCGGCAAGGGCAAGGGGGGCAAGGGCGCTGGAGGGGCTGGCGGGGGCGGTGGAGGTGGCGGTGGAGGCAGTGGAGGGGGTGGGGGTGGTGGTGGGAGTGGTGGCGGGGGTGGAGGTGTCGGTGGCAGCAGTGGAGGCGGAGGAGGCGGCGGCGGTGGCGGTGGGAGCGGAGGCGGCGGCGGCGGCGGTGGAGCTGGTCGCGGCTCTACACAGAGGAGTGGCTCCGATGGTGGTCCGCGCCAGCTGCAGCAGCGCACTCGTGAGACTCCGTCCCCTCAGTAGCTTTGTGAGTGGTACGCTGGGCGTCAGCGAGGTGGGGGTACTGGTCCCTGTACCTACGTCCTCCGTACCGGCGACCGCGCTGGTGAGCAGTGCGGGGGCTCGCACTCCACCCAGCGCTGCTTCGGCCGCCTGACGGACGCTTGGCGTCACCAGTTCCCTGACGCCGCTGAGATCCCTCGCTGGGGAGAGCTGTCTAGGGCGGGGGTTGTTATCTTTGATCTTGATTATGATGCTATTCTTGCTGCCATGTATGCTGTGTCTACTAGTGATGAGGGTGACTGTTACCTGTGTGTTCCGCCTGACCCAGGCATTGAGGCTGCTGCTCTAGGTGCTGGTGAGGCTGCTGCCCCAGGTGCTGGTGAGTCTGCTCTCTCAGGTACCACGTCGGCTCAGGCCTTACACACCTTCACCCTTGACTCGGGTGCTTCCCGCTCCTTCTTTCGAGACCGCACCACACTTACGCCGCTTAGTCGGCCGGTTGCGGTCTCCCTGGCGTACCCCTCTGGGGGTCCTTTCCTTGCTTGCTTCTCCACTGTCTTACCGTGTTCGACGGCCCCCTCTGGCACCCTAACAGGTCTCTACCTCCCCTCGTTCTCTACGAACTTGGTGAGTGGTGCTGACCTACAGGATGGGGGGGTTGACCAGTTCACTCCTGCGCGTCAGCGGGTGACCCACTGTACGTGTGCTCGGACGGGCCGACACTTGGCCACGTTTACCCGTCGGCCGGGGTCGAGCCTGTACACACTGACTATTGAGTCTCCTCCGGTTGCTGAGTCTGGCCAGGTAGCTGCGTCGAGTCAGGTGTTTGCTGCAGCGTCCAGGTCTGGTCCTGAGTCTGCTCCCTGCTCGTGTCGTCTCCTGTCCCACCAGACTCTCCTTTGGCACCACCGCCTTGGTCACCCCTCCCTGCCTCGTCTCCGAGGCATGGCCTCCCGTGTCCTTTTCTCTCGTCTCCCCTGGTCCCTCCCTCCCCTCCCTCTGGGGCCTGCCCCTACCTGCGTTCCCTGCGTCGAGGGGCGGCAGCGCGCCGCCCCTCACTCCTCCGAGTTTCCTGCGAGAGAGGCTCCCCTGCAGACTCTTCACATGGACGTGTGGGGCCCCGCCCGCGTCCGTGGCCAGGGTCACGAGCGTTACTTCCTGTTGGTGGTTGACGACTACTCGCGTTAAACCATGGTGTTCCCCTTGCGCAGCAAGGGTGACGTCACTGAGGTGTTGATCGACTGGATCCGCGCGGCTCGTCTCTAGCTCAGAGAGAGTTTCGGCTCGGACTTTCCTGTTCTGCGTCTGCACTCTGACAGAGGCGGGGAGTTTTCCTCTGCCCGTCTGGGAGCCTTCTGTCATGCACAGGGCATCCGCCAGACTTTCACGCTTCCGGCCTCTCCACAGCAAAATGGGATTGATGAGCGCCGCATTGGCATGGTCATGGACGTCGCTCGTACGTCCATGATGCATGCGACTGCTCCCCACTTTCTGTGGCCGTTTGCGGTTCTGTACGCAGGGCATCATCTCAACCTTCAGCCCCGGGTCTCCTTACCAGAGACCTCCCCCACCTTGCGGTGGACGGGGAAGGTTTGCGATGCGTCTGCGTTTCGTGTCTGGGGATCTCGGGCGTTTGTCCGCGACTTGTCTGCGGACAAGCTGTCCCCCTGTGCTGTTCCCTGTGTCTTCCTTGGCTTCCCCCCTGACGCGCCCGGTTGGCAGTTTTACCACCCCACCTCGCGCCGTGTTCGGTCCTCCCAGGACGTCACCTTTGACGAGTCGGTGCCTTATTACCGTCTCTTCCCCTACCGCACTGCGCCCCTCCCTCTGCCGCCGCTCTTCCTTGCGCCAGGTCCTCCCCTGGTAGACCCTCTCCCCCCTCAGGGTCCTGCCCCGTCAGGTGTGTCCCGGGTAGACGCAGTCGAGCCTGTCGAGGTAGCTATTGACTCTGGTGCTGCTGGGGGTGCTGAGCCTGCGGGTGCCGGGTCTGGGGGTGCTAAGCCTGGGGGTGTGGAGCCTGGGGGTGCTGAGTCTTGGGGTGCTGAGCCTGCGGTTGCCGGGTCTGGGGGTGGTGAGCCTGGGGGTGCGGAGCCTGGGGGTGCTGAGCCTTGGGGTACGGAGCCTGGGGGTGCGGTGCCTGGGGGTGCTGGGTCTGCTCGTGTGGCCTCTGACGGTGCTTCGTCGAGATGAGATCTACCCTCTTCGGAAGAGCTGCGCGAGTGGTTTGCCCGGCGCTGGAGCCGTGCTGCTGGAGCTGGAGGTGCTACTCTTGCTGCTGGTCATGGAGGTGCTCGTACTGGCGGTACTGGAGCTGCTGGGACTAGGGGTGCTGCTGGGGCTGCTGGAGCTGACGGTCCTGCTGGAGTTGGTGCTGCTGGAGCTGCTGGAGTTGGTGCTGCTGGAGCTGCTGGAGCTGGAGCTGCTGAGGGTGTTGGCGCTGGAGGTGCTGCTGGCGCTGGTGCTTCTGAGGGTGCTGGAGTTGGCCCTGTTGGAGCTGGAGGTGCTGCTGGCACTGGTGCTGCCGCTGGGGGTACTGGTGCTGTCTCTGCTGTTTATGGAGGCGCTGCGCGGCCGCGGCCGTACTTCGTTCCGCTCCTTGAGCAGGTTCTTGGTCTCCCGCCC